TTCCTGATCTGCATGTCAGCTTTTGACTTCCATTGTGTCAGGGTTAGAAAGAAAGCTAAAAGTAAAATACTGACAATCTTTATTTAGGGTGAGGAGGTATACTGAAGAAGCAATTTTGTAAGTCTATGACGATTATATTTTGATTTCTAAAGGTGGCTGTGGGAGATGGCAGTCAAGGCTGTGAAGCTTCCCTTGGCTCCAATAAAGTTCATTTAAGATTTTAAAGTCTTGTAACAGCCTGTAAAACTGATTTTTTTTCTAACCATAAATACTGGGGTGACTCAAGGGCTGGTGGGAGACTTTGTATGCCCTATTTTTAAGCTTCTCCTCCACCAGACAAGTAGTAGCTACAATTCTCTCAGCATTCAAAGTCGATTGTTTAACACAGATAGGAGTATCAGATTTCCATGTAGTCAGGTCAGCAGTCAACAGTGGCCCCTAGGATAAATTTTGATACCCTAGTCTAGTCTGATGTAGAACTCACAGAGACCCACCTGTCTCAAATCCTGAGTGCTGGGATTAAATGCATGTGCCACTATGCATGACTACATAGATTTTTATTTGGGGGTGGGTTGATTTTAACAAGACAGGGTTTCTCTGTGTAGTTTTTGGTGCCTTTCCTGGATCTCACTCTGTAGACCCAGATGGCCTCAAACTCACAGAAATCCTCCTGCCTCTGCCTCCCAAGTGCTGGGATTAAAGGCATATGATACCACCGCCTGGCTCCCATAGTATTACTGTATGTGTGGTTCTTTTAGCCTTCCAGTTACTGTGATGAAATGCCACAACCCAAACCAACTTGGCAGTTAGGGGTTTATTTGGCTTAAATGTCTTGGTCAGGATGTGTCATTGAGGGAAGTGCAGGCAAGAACCATGGGGAAAGCTTCCTTGCTTCCACCCACAACTTGCTCAGCTGCTTTTCTTATAGAGGCCAAAGGAAAGGGGCTATCTGCAAGGGGATAGCAACGGGTCATTCTCCACCAAACAGTAATTAAGAAAATGCCTTGCTGGCCATTATAATGGAGGTGATACCTTAAATAAAGTTTTCTCTTTCCATGTGAATTTAGTCTGTCAAATAGACAAAAACTAAACAGCATGTCTTTATTGGTCATCTGTTCCTCTTTCTTTAAAAGGAATGTCAGGTCTTTTTCTTCTTTTTGGATTGAGCTGCTTGTGGTTTGTATTGTTACTATTGTTGAACTGTGAGAGTTCTTTATATATTTTGGCCCACGTTCAGATGTACCATACGTAACATTTTTTGGCACTTGAAAATGATCTTTCCACTATGTTGATCCATGGTCTTTCACTTGTTAATAGTGCTTTATCTGGGGTCCCAACTGTGCGTAGTCTGGAGAAATAGAGTGATATCTTTGATGTCTGTATACAAGACATAATGGTTAAGTCAACTATTTCACATCCACTACCCCATTTATTATAGTGAGACATTGGAAATTTGTCTTGGCTACTCTGAAATAAGCTGCCATTGACTACAATCTTCTATGGGTTACTTCAAACCTGCTCCTCTTTCCAATGTGAAATTTACATCTTGCTACTGACAGCTCCTTGGTGTTTCCTTCCCACAGCCAGTTTAGCCTTCTTATTTATTTATTATTTATTTATTTATTTATTTATTTATTTATTTATTTATTTATTTATTTATTTATTATACAGTGTTCTGCATGCACACCAGAAAAAGGGCAACATATTTCATTATACATGGTTGTAAGGCACCATGTGGTTGCTGGGAATTGAACTCAGGACCTCTAGAAGAGCAGCAAGTGCTCTTAACTCCTGAGCCATCTCTCCATACCCAGTCCAGGAATTATTTCCTGCAGGCAAATACTAATAGACACTGCTTGGTGGAAGGTCAGGTCATTATTCACATTTAAGGTTAACTTACAGGCCTAGCAATGATCATTTACCATGTGTCCTATTATAGTGAAACTGAGACAGAAAACATAGTCACTGAGTCAGGGTCACAAGGGCCATCAGTGGCACAAGCTATCTGTCCAAAACTACATCTACAGGTCCCCATCATGGAGACCTACTAGGTGGCCTTCACTCTTCTGATCATTTCATAGACTCAGGATTCTTATAGGGCTCCCAGATTCATGTTAATCAACTTCAAACACCTGACAAGAATAGCCCACCTGTGGCCAAGCCTGACCTAAATGTCAGCCAGATCCTGAGCTGTATGAGATCTCTGAAAGGCTGTCAGGTTTCTCAGGGAAGCTCAATTGGAAGACTAATCATAGCCTATCTGTAGGACAGCCCTGAACAGCAAAGGCTGGGAGAGCACTGGTCTACACTGAGTAGTGGAGGCCAGTGCAGCTGGAGGGACTCAAACCTTGTCTCTCAAAGCAGGCAATTTGTCAGTGAGGACCAGGAGATAAAATGAGGTCTCTGATTCCAAGTCTTGAGGCTGACCATCACCAAACACTGCAGCCCCGTTCACTCATGAGAAAGTCCTTGCTTCTCCCATACACAGCACAGGAGGCCCCATTATCTCTGAGCACTCAGCCACTCCATCTGCCTTTAATTTGCTTCCTGACTGATTCTCTAAGGATCTGGGTTGGTGGAGAGATAAGAGACTATCTTCGGTTGAAAGACACCCTTGCAAGAATCAGAGGTACTACACAGGGCAATATTCTCTCTGTGGTTAGCACAGCAATGATACCCAAAGCTAAAATCACAACGAACAATTCCAATTCCATGGAGATTGAGGACTCAGTAGTATTAATGTGTGAGCCTATGACTCAGAACATAATCTACCTTGGAGGATAAATGACCAAAGCTTCTCAGAAGAGGACAGGCTGAAGCTGTCTGAGGACAACAGGACTCTAACTTTACTCAGTGTTGTGAGGACTGATATAGGACCTTATGAATGTGACCTGGAACTCAATGAGTGCCTCCCCAAGTGACCCATTCTCTCTGAATGTTACCTGTAAGTATTTTCTGTTTCATCCTGGCCCCAACTACCTAAATACAGACGGCTACAGCTACCATACTCAGTCCTGGTCCCCTTAGATTCATGACACAGACCTACCATACAGATACCTAGGCTGCCAGGGCATCCTGTCCCAGCCCAAGCACATGTAGACAGGCCCAGCATTGACCTTGAATGAGCTGCAGGGACTTCTGCCTAGAGAGGCTCATGGTGATGGAGACAGGGGACATGTAAGACTCAGGTTCAGTGCACATATGACTATGCAGAGGGGATATTTGTGTGTTGTGCTTGAGATAGATCGGGGCTTGTGCTTGTTGAATGAGTACTCTTCCACTAATCTGCAATCTAACTCTGGTGGAAATCTGCTTAATTAAGGTTAAAAGCTCAAAGAGATACTATGGCCATCTACAGGCCAGGATTTCCCTTTCCCTCTGCTGATATCAGGTGTGGCTTTGTTCTGTTTGCTTCAGATGGTCCAGATGTCCCGATTATATCCCACTCAAACATTCATTTCCATTCAAAGACAAACCTCAGCCTCTCCTGCTACACAGATGCTAACCCACCTGCACAGTACTCTTGGTTTGTCAATGGAGAGCTCCAGTCATCCTCCCAAGGGCTTTTTATCCCCAACATCAATACTAATAATAATAGATCCTATTCCTGCTTCGTCTATAACTTTTTCCCTAGAGTGAATTGGACCACAGTCAAGAACATTACAGTCCTTAGTAAGTGGATCTCTGAAATATCAGCATCAGGTTTGTAGTGGAGACTTTTAGCATTCTGGGAGGGTGCAGAAGCATTGAATTTCCAGCCCATGTCTATGGGAACAAGCAAAACTCAGTCTTCCCTTAAGCCCCCTGCTCCATCCCTATGTCTAATGGCCTCATGGTTCTCAGGTTTCTGGCTGAGAAGGATGGAGATTGCAATGTGAGGAGGAGGTTCTCCCAGCCTTGGAAAGCCTTAGGTTGTGTTAGGGACTTTCCATGGTTAGGAGAGCCTCAAGGTCAAGATTTCTTTCTGTGCCTAACACAACCTTTCCTGTCCCCTCCATTTTCATTTTATGACCTCCATGACCTAAAAGGAACACCCAGGGCTTTCAACGGTAATCACTTTCTTTTTCTCCAAATTGGCTGAGAATATTCCCTACAGATGGGGACTAGACCTCTGCTCAGAGGTCTTTTCCTGTCTCATGGGTATCGTGGCTGGCTCAACTTTGACTCCATGGGATGGAAAGAGTGGGTGGAAAATGTGCCTGGGATCCTTGGTCTGAGTCAGGGTGAACTGTGTCACTGACAGTTGATGATGATCTTTTGCTTACTCTTCTCAAGGTCCAAAAAACAAATGCCAGCTGAGTGTGGTGGCACACATTTTTGATGCCAGCACTGAGGAGGGAGAGGCAGGTAGATAGTGAGTTTGAGCTCAGCCTCATCTACATAGCAAGTGCCAAGTGAGCTAAGACTGTACAGTGAGACCCTGTCTCAAAAATATCAGTACTGAGGATTAGAGTGGCAGGCTGTGGTCAGTACTGTGATTATTTACTTCTACTATGTAGTATTTAATCCATATCCATAGGGCAGGAAATACATTTTTCCTACAAACAGAAATTCTTCAGTCAAACTCCTTCTCCCAGTCCTGAGGTCTAGCCTTTAACACCTTTAAGATTATGTGGGCTTAACCCCATGACAAATTATTTTTAATAAAAAACAAACAGAAGGCTATTTCATAAAAGAGGGACCTGACTGTTCAAACTTACCAAAAGAGTGAGCAAGAATTCCCACAAATATCATTGGGAAATGCATTCCCTCCACCATGAGATTTCTGGACATGTGGTGTGAAGAGGCTCCCAGTTTGGCATCTACACAAACAACCTGAGTCAGTGTCACTGTGGGTGATCTTGGTAGGAGTAAGATTCAGCTCTCTCCTTACAGAACATATCCTGAACCCAAACATGTGATCTTGCAGAGGGCCACTTTTTTCTATGGGCCCTGTGAACTGGATGAGATCTCTAAGGGTAAAGGACTCTCAGCTGTTCCCCTCCACTATTTATTCACAGATCCAGTGACTCCACCCTTCATCCAAGTCACCAACACCACAGTCAAAGATATGATCTCTGTTTTCCTGACCTGCTTGTCAAACGACACGGATATCTCCATCCACTGGCTCTTCAAAGGCCAGAGTGTGGAGCTCACAGACAGGGTAAGGCTGTCCCAGAACAACAGCACCCTCCAAATAGACTCTGTGAGGAGTGAGGATTCCGGGGACTATCAGTGTAAAGTATCCAATCAAATCAGTTCCAAGAGGAGTGACCCCATCCAGCTGGACATAAAACGTGAGTGACCTCTGTTCCCTCCTTAGTGCATAGTGTTGGGGGTGAGGGCACTTTCTTTATCAAAAGAGTACAGAATGGGTCAAAGTCACAAGGAGAAAAACATGGTTCAAGCCAGCTTGGTGATGGATGCATGTTAATCTCATGATAAGACACCAAGCAAGCTGAGCACAGTGCTGCATGCCTTTAAACCCCAGCACACCAGAGGCAGAGACAGTTGGATCTCTATGAGTTCCCAACCACCCTGGTCATTGTAGCCAGTTTCAGGTTACAGCCAGAGCTACATAGTGAGACCCTAACTCAAAAGAGAGAGAGCCTGAAGCAGGAGGCATAGAAGTACAAGGCCACTCAACTGAATGTACCAAGGTCTGCTGACACCCCATGGGTGACCTTGCTTTGGAGGAGGTGGAAATTGGGAGTTGTTTGGGAAGGAAGGCTGGGGGCAGGAGGCAGGAGGAAAGGGGAATCTGTGGTTGGTATGTAAAATGAATAGAAAATCTCTTAATAAAAAAAAAAAAGCAGTACAAGGCCAGCCCAGATTACATTGTGAGACCCTCTCAATAATAACAACAATTGATGTCAATATAGCAAATAAATAGAAATATAATGTGAATAAGAGTTTAGGGTCTGAGTCAGACACACAGTAAAATATTCATGTTACTCTACCTCCTCCTACACATTTAAATCTTCTTTAGATTATTTCCAATACCTAATATGCATATTGCATAGACACTAGTCTTTATTTTTAACTGGGGCCAAGTTGATAATAGTCTTATTGTGTTGAGCACAGGACCATGATAGGAGGAAACAATACATTTTTCACTGTAGAGATACATTTCCACGTAGTTTGTTTCCAAGGTTTCAATGCCTAAATATCAAATCCATAGATAGAAAGGACCTGTATTAAGTTTCTTACTATGTTTGCATATTTATTTGTGTGCATGTCCCACAGCCATGTGTGGAGGTTAGGGGACAATTTGTAGGAGCCAGTTATAGGGACAGGGGATTGAACTCAGGTGGGTGAGCAAGCCCTTTATCTACAAAGCCATTTCACTGGCCCATATTTGTTTGTGCATTTATTTCTGTGTAGCAGTTGGGAATAGGTACTGAGATGGAGTATGGCAGGCACTCTTCCCAACTGAGCCATCTTGGTGGCCCTTATACTTAGTTTCTTGTCCTCATGTTGACATTTACAGCATGACCTCCTTGCACAAAGCTCTTTTTTTCTGATGACTGTTTTTTGTGGTGTGTAGTGGTATATGTGTGTGTATATATATATGGTGTATGGAACTGGAGAGATAGCTCAATATTTAAGAGCCCTGGCAGCTCTTCCAAAGGACAGGCGTTCAAATCCCAGCACTCACATGGCAGCTTACACTGTCTGTAACTAAGGTCCAAAAATTCAACACCCTATTCTGTCCTCCTCAGGTACCAAACATGCATGTTCTGCAGAGACATATAAGCAGCCAAAAGGCCCATATGATGCATTTGTCATCATAACAAAGACACCATTCGAAATCCAATTTCAAGATGCTTTCATCCTGTCTCCTAAAAGTCTGATGACTTTCAGCTCTGATCCATTTTAGGTCTTTGATCCATTTAGAGTTGATTTTTATATGTTGTTAGGTGAAGGCTTAGCTTCATTCTTTTATCTGGATATCCCATTTTCCCAACATCCCTTGTTTAATTGATCATTCCTTTATCCTTGAACAAACTTAGCAGACTGATCAAAACTCATCTGGTCACAGAGGGTCAGATGGACAGCAAGATGCCTTCCAAGTTCTGTAACTCAATAGGGCAACTCTGTTTCACACCTAGTAATTCAAAAGAGCCAGAAGAAATGAATGTTTGTAACAAATAGAAAAAGTGACAGATGAAATGGTGGATATGCCAGCTGTTCAGATCTGACACATATTATAATATATATGCAAAACTGTGCCCCATAAACACACATATTGATCATATCAACTAATCTTTAATTTAATCATGACCAGTGTGCATGAGCAATTGTGGGCTTTCTGATTCTATAGCACTGATCTGTATGTCTGCCTTTATGTCAGCAGTAGACTATTTTGATTGTTGCAGCTTTGTACTAAA